CTCATGCTTACATTTTGGAAGAAAATATTAAAAGTTGATTTGTACTTAGAGTGCATAGGAAATTTGTACAGGTGGATTTTACTTGTTTGGTTCAAATAATCATATTAAGAGAGAAACTTGTGTGTTTGAGTAATTAAACAGGATTTTAGAACAGGAGGGAGATGCCTTAATGGCACCATCATTTGTTATTCATTGTGATGCCAGAACATGGATTTGTTTTTTTCAGATTTTAAAGGATTAAGATTTTTCATATAGTAAATTGACACTTTTTAAATAATAATTCATAAGATACAATCAAAAAGATATTTTTAAGTGTTACTTTTCTTATTGTGTCTCTGTTCACCTTGGTAAGCAAAAAGAAGATAATTTAGAAGTGATAAAATTTTATCCTAGTGCTGTGTTAATTTGATCAGTATGGAAAGGGTTTTATTACATGTATCTAAATCTCTTCTATATAATAAATTGTGTTTGTGAATAGATGAAAGCTAAAGGACATGAGATAACTAGTAAAAGACATAGAACTGGTATGTAGAATTGTGTAAAATTGTTCAATTTTGCCAGAAAATAAGTGCAGATTAAAACAGTGAGATACCATTTTTACTTATTGACTTAGTAGAGAGGATATGAATGAGAATGAATACCCCACTCTGGGATAGCGAAACTCACTCAAATACACGAGTACATTGCAGGTGGCATTAGCATTTCACACTGATACCATGCTTTTAAGAAGCATAGTAAGAACAAAAATACTGATATAGTTGACCCTTGAACAAGACAGGAGTTAGAGGTGCTGACCCGCACAGTGTTGAAAATCTGAGTGTAACTTTTGAGTCCCTAAAACTTAGCTACTGTATAGAATGCAAATAGCATACAAAATATGTGTTAATTGCTGATGTGAAAGGTAAGGCTTAAAGTTAACAGAAGTCAGTTAACACATATTCTGTATACTGTTTGTATTCTATACTGTATTTTCAAAGTAATACATAAATTTATATTAATTTTTTTCAATATTTCTAAGATATGCATTTTACAAGTTTTCTAAATTGCCTCACATCTCCACAAAATATCTCTCATATTTTTATTGAAAAAAATCTTATATATAAGTGGACCCATGCAATTTAAAATCTGTATTGTTCAAGGGTCAACTGTAGTTAGTCTGTCAGGCTGCTATACACTGAAGGGACTGATGGGTATTTTCCTTTTAAAAATATATTCCAGGTTATTTGGAGTGGGAAAACTACATGTAATTAGAATTTTACCTTTTTCAAGGCATGATTATATAATAGCTGTATTTTGACATTGATGTTGAGGGTGACTGTGTACCTGAAACCTGTAACACAGTGGTTGTCAAGTAAGTTGTAGAGTCTCAAAGTCAGTGCTGGATCTGGCATTTCAAGTCTGGAAAGGCTTAAAAAATTGTTTTAAACGGTATACTCCAGATACTAGATATTTTAGAATATATTGATTAGTTATGTTTTTCCTAGCTACTTGTGGTGTTGTGACAGAATCCAGTTGTGAAACTATCAGGGGCAGCTGCCCATCTCAGTCATTCAGAGGGTAATTATTGTTGACAAGATGAAGTTGATTTCCGTACCTCCTTCAGGCATATGTAGCAGAACCAGGTTTTTAACTTTTAGAAGGTCAATAAACAACTTGTATTTAATGCTTGACTTGGTCTTTTAATTTTTTTTTCAGATTTATGTTTTCAAATAATGTGATTTAGAGAATGTATTGATTGATATTTTTGGGTAACAAATCTCCATGGATGGTTCATGTTTGTGCACTTCTGAACACAGGCATTATCTGGACTATTTTTCCAAGAATGTTGTGCAAATGGCCTTGAAAGATAGTAAATTGAGACTTTAATTTAGATTTCCTTCTAAGTCTCAGGACGGATTTATTTCCTGTTCAGGATAATAAAGATGATTTTTCCCCTCTAGAGCAGAGGTTGGACAGGTTTGCTAGTAGTACCTTTAAAAGATTGGATTTTTTTTTTAAACTTTTGAGTTCTTGTGACATAAGCCCACTGTTTGTGGATCATCTATCTACCTGGGCAATTCCACACCAGCCCCCTGGGACTTGGGTGACAACATGGAGCTCATGGTGCCTATTCTATCATGAGAATGGATTAAGAAAAGATGTGTGTGTGTGTGTGTGTGTGTGTGTGTGTGTGTGTGTGTAAAATGGAGTCAGTTATATGATGAATTTAAAAAAGAATTCCAAATAATAGGAACAAACAAAAGCGGTTGCCAGGGGCTGAGCTGTACAAGAGTGGTGGTGGAAGGGGGCCAAGCAAAGGTTGGTAAAAGGTTACAGACTTTCAGACAGAAGATAAATAAGGTCTGAGGATCTAATGTAAAACATGATGACTATAGTTAATAACACTGTACTGTGTAGTTGAAATTTGCTAAGAATAGAACTTAAGTGTTCTCACCAAAAAAAAAAAAAAAAAAGGAAAGAAAAAAAGTTATTCTATGTGAGATGATAGATATGATAATTAGCTAGGAGGAGGGAATCCTTTCACAATGTGTATATATATCCAATCATGTTGTATACTTTAAATATCTTATAGTTTGGTTAAATATCTTATAGCTTGGCTAATTATACTTGGTTAATTATACAATAACTTAATAAAGCTGGAAAAAATAACCTTGTCAGAGAAAAAAATGTATATTTCTGTTTCAGGATTTTTGTTTTTGCCACTATCCATGAAACTGACTTGCAATAACTCAAAAAATAGAAGTAGAGCAAAATCATCTGCCTTTCACAGTTATTTAATGCCATGATAGAAACATATTGATGTAATGATGTGATATTTTTAAGACAAGAACAAGTAGATTAAGATTGTTGAAGAAATACAGTTTTGAAAGGAAAGTGGATTTTTGTATTTAATGAGTAAAGTATATAGACTACCCTAGAACTAGCAGATAAATAGCTGTTTTTTAGACCAATTTCCTTTTGCCCTCATTAGTGTATTTTTATCTTGCTCAATTTCCAGTCTGGAGGTTTTGTCTCTACATAGAGGGTCACAGTCCTAATTATAAATAAAATATTTTATTTATATGGTATATATTTTATTATTTTAAAATTATTTTGGAAGAATTTACAGATACCGAATTGACTTGTTGAGTGTTAGGGTAAACAGTTGAACATTTTAAAATAAATCATATTAAATATACAACAGTTTTTTATAAGATAAACACTAGTAAATTATGCTTAATGTGGAAAATATTCTAACTTTATTTCTCAGAATTCAGACTAATAAAAGTCCTTCTGCTTGGTTTTTAATTGTTTTGTGTGTATTGAAGCAGAAAGGTATTTCCTAAAATAAGTTTATATAACTTTCAGTTTAACAAAAGTATTATTTTATCTTGGCATGGAAATATATTCATATTATATTTGCAGTCAGAATTAAAGGCCTACAGTCAAATATAATCACATCCAGATAATTAGTCTGAGATTAGGATGAATTTCAACTGATAGCTTTTGGTTAAGGTAAAAAAAAAAATTAAAGGTTTTATTTATTTATTCATGGAGACAGAGAAAGACAGAGACATAGGCAGAGGGAGAAGCAGGCTCCCTGCAGGAACCTGATCCAGGACTCTATCCGAGGACCCTGGGATCATGCCCTGCCCTGAAGGCTGATGCTCAACCACTGAGTCACCCAGGCGTGCCTGTTTTTGTTTTTTTAAGTAACAATTATCCCAGTAATTAGCTATAATATTCCTTTTTCATACTGTCAGTTTGCCATTGTGCACTTACTTGAATGTTCTTTCCAGTTACTAGTTAAGCATTCTGCTCTTTGACCAGGTTATTGCCCCTCCTGCTCTCCTCTCTTCCATTTCTTTTGATTTATCTTTTTTTCTCTCTCAGGTAGGTGCAGAGCAATTCAGTAGGTCTTTTACTGTAACTCAGGGTAAGATGCCTGCCTCTCCCCTCTTCTCCTTTTTTTTTTAAGCGTTATTCAGTTGTAATTGATATACAAAACATTGAACACATTTGATATATATATATATCAATAAGTTTGACATACGCACACATCTGTGATTCTTTTACCACAAAGTACCAAACACCTGTATCATCTTCAGAAATTTCCTTGTGTTCTCTGGGTCTGTATGTTGTGGTACAAACACTTAACCTGATATCCTTCCTTTTTAATGTATTTTAAAGGTCACAATACTCTTGTTAACTCTAGATACTGTGTTCTACAACAGATCTCTTGAACTTACTCATTATACATAACTGAAACTTGATATCCGCTGAGCAACAATTATCCATTTCCCCTTCCCCTAACGACCACCATGTTTATCTCTGCTCTTATGGTTTGATTATTTTTGATATGTCATATAAGTGGAATCATGCCATATTTGTCCTTAGGTGGCTGGCTTATTTCACTTGGCATATGTTTATGTTTATCTGTGTTGTTGCAAGTAAGGTTTCCTTCTTTTTATCTTTATTTTTTTTAAACACTGGACATGCTTTTTGAGAGCCTTTTTCCATTTGTTTTTTTATATAATAGCCAGAGTTTTTTCTGTATGTAGTGAGAGGATTAGAGAAAAGCATCTCTGTTTCCTTTTTTTTTCTTTTTTAAAGATTTTATTTATTTATTCATGAGAGATAGACACAGGCAAAGGGAGAAGCAGGCTCCATGGAGGAAGCCTGATGTGGGACTTGATCCCGGGTCTGCAGGATCACGCCCTGGGCTGAAGGCGGTGCTAAACCGCTGAGCCAACCATGCTGCCCAAGCATGTCTATTTCATTTTTCAGGTAGTCTATTTTATTTTTGATATCTGTCTTATAAACCTTTGCAATAGTTAGGAAAAATAAAATGAAATATTTTATGCATGTACAGTCAATTAATTATGAATACATTCATTAAAAGAAGAACTTTTACCGAAATTAATTTTGGGTAAAACAATCTCATGTGACTCAGTTTACATGAAATACAAAGTGAAGAACTTTATCTCTGTGTAAATTTAAATTCTTATGTTTAATTGCAGAATCTTTTAGCTGAAAAAGTTGAACAACTGATGGAATGGAGTTCCAGGCGCTCCATCTTCCGAATGAATGGCGATAAATTCCGAAAATTTATAAAGGCACCACCTCGAAACTATTCTATGATTGTTATGTTCACTGCTCTTCAGCCCCAGCGGCAGTGTTCTGTGTGCAGGTAAGTTATGTATTCTAAAAAAATTTAAAACTGTTATCCTATGCTTGTATGTTTATTACATATATGTAAATCTGCATAATAGAATTCAGTAGCTGTTCAAGGTTATAGTCAGCTATAAGTGTACATTTAAAGGTAAGCTCAAAATCAGAGGCGCCTGGTGGCTCAGTTAGTTAAGCACTGACTCTTGGTTTTGGCTCAGGTCATGATCTCATCAGTCCTGATGTTGAGCTCCGGGTCAGGCTCTGCCCTCAGTGTGGAATATGCTTGAGCTTCTCTCACTCCCCTGCACCTCACTCTGCTTGTGAGGTCACACTCATGCATGTGCCCTCTCTTCCCCTGTCTCAAATAAATACATTTTTATTTATTTTGTTTTTCATTTTATTTTATATTTTTAAAAGATTTTATTTATTTATTCATGAGAGTCACAGAGAGAGGCAGAGACATATGCAGAGGAAAAAGCAGGCTTCCTGCAGGGAGCCTGATGCAAGACTCGATCCCAAGACACTGGGATCACGACCTGAGCCAAAGGCAGACACTCAAACATTGAGCCACCCAGGTGCTCTCAAATAAATAAATTCTTTAAAAAAAAGTAAGTAAGCTCAAAATCAGTGTATTTTAGAAAATAATTTTGATAGACTAATATTCTTTTGTTGTGTAAAATACTTATTGACCAACTCATGTGTAATCATAAAATAGATTTGCTTCTTTATGTCCTGTATGAAGGTAAATATAGATTTGGTTCAAATATTGCCTTGTAGGTCATCTAATTATATTTTATGAGCAAAGAAGTCGTTTACTTAAACATATTCTATTTTAACAGTTTAACAGAGGACAAACTTTTACTTCGGATCCATTTACTTTTCATTACCTCCAATGATAAGAAATTTCACCCTATGATACAGAATTAAATCATTTGAAATGAATGAAACATTTTTTAGTGACAATGTACTAAAGAAAATTCTAGAGAAGTACAAATTCTATATGCTTTAAATTTTTTTCTGTTTTTGAAATAATTGTAGGTTCACAGGGAGTTGTAAGAAATAATACAGAGAGATCCTAAATACCTTTTACTCAATGTCCCTCAGTGGTAATATCTTGCAAAATTGTAGTATAATATCACAAGCAGGGTATTGGTATTGATACAGTTAAGATACTAAACAGTTCCATTACCATAAGAATCCCTCTTTTGCCCTTTACAGCCAGGCTCACCCACCTGTTGCCATTCTACTCCCATTTCCTGAATTTGTACTCCCATTTTGTTGTTTCAGTAATGTGATATGAATGGAATCCTACCTTTGATCTTTTGGGTTTGGCTTTTAATAACTTGCCATAATTCCCTCAAAATCCATCCAAGTTGTTGCATTTGTCAGCAGTCATTCTTTTTATTACTGTGTAAACTTTCATGGTATGAATGTACTGCAGTTTGTTCAACTCTCCATCTGTTACAGGACATCTGGGTTCTGGTATTTGACTATTATATCTATTGCAAACATTCTGGTACAGGATTTTCCTATGAACTTAAGTTTTCATTTCTCTGGAATAAAAATATTTAAGTTTTCATTTCTCCATGATGGCTAGGTTGTTTGGTAATTGCATGTTTAGCTTTATAAGAAACTGCCAAAATGTTTTCCAGAGTAGCTGTATCATTTTACATTTCCTCTAGCAGTGTACGAGTGATCTAGTTTTTCCATATCCTCACCAACATTTGTCACTATTTTACTTTAGTCCCTTTGGTAAGTATGTAGTGATATCTCATGGTTTAATTTTGCATTTTCCTGGTGGCAGTGGTGTTAAACATCTTTTCACATGCTTGTTATCTGTATGTCACATCTTTGATGAACTATCTGTTCATGGCTTTTGCTCATTTCTAATTGGATATTTTACTGAGTTTTGAGAGTTTTTTTATGTATTGTAGATACTAGTCCTTTGCCAGACATGTACTTTTCAAATATTTTCTCCTAGTTTATGGCTTATCTTTCCATGTTGACGACAGATCTTTTGCAGATTTTAATTTATGAGTCCATTTACCAGTTTCCTGTCTTATAGCTTATTTTTGTTATCCAGTTGAACTCTTTGCCTAGCCCTATAACCCAAAGTTTCTTTCTCTCTCTTTGTTTCCCTGTAAGTTTTATAGTTTTATGTTTGCATTTTAATCTGATTTTGGAAGAAAGCATTTAATATTTAATTATCCATGATGGTACTAGCTGTAAGATTTTAGAAGATGTTCTTTATCAAGTAAAGGAAGTTCTCTACTAGTTTACTAAGAATTTTGATCATGAGTGGGTGTTGGATTTTATCAAATTTTTTTAGTGTGAATTAATATGATTTTTCATCTCTAGGTCTTTTTAGTAATTGAGTTTTCTATATTGAACAGGCTTGTATTTTGGAATATATCCTACTTGATTATGGTATATTACTATTTTTATGTATTTCTGGATTCTGTTTGCTAATAAAAATCTATTAGAAATTTGCATCTGAGGTAATGATCGATATTGATCTGTACTTTTCATGTTTTATACTGCTTTTTTGTCTAGTTTGGTATTAGGCTACTCCTGGCCTCATGAAATGAGTTGGGAAATGTTTCCTCATTTAGTTTCCAGAAGAGATTGTGTAAAATTACACAATTTTAGAAGATTGTGTTAATTCTTCTTGAAATATTTGATGGAATTCTTCAGTGAAACCATCTGGGCCTTATGACTTTAAATTACATATTTCATTGTCTCAATGGCTAAGGACAATTCAGGTTGTGTCTTTTTGGCTGAACACTTATTCTTTTCAAGAACACATCCTAACTCTCTACATCATATATTCATGTGTAGATTTTTAGATTTTAAATCATTGTGAATTCTAGTGGAAACTGAAGTTATTAGTAACATGGATTAATGAAAAAAAAGTTTCACTCAGACTAATTTGCAGAAAGGGAATTTCAGCATCTCAACATTTTCTGGAAGGATCTTAATATCTAATAATGATTGTATGTTGGGAGCATGTCTAAAAGTGGATAGAGATGATGGTGAGCAAAAGTATTTTGAGGGGCACCTGGTTGGCTCAGTTGATTAAACTGCCTTGAACTCAGGTCATGAGCAAGGTCCTGGGATCAAGCTCCACATCAAGCTTCCTGCTCAGCTTGGAGTCTGTGTCTCCCTCTGCCCCTCCCCCTGCTTATGCTTGCTCTTTCTCTCTTGCTCTCACTCAGATAAATAAAAATAAAACCTTTAGAGGAAAAGTATTTTGAAAAACTGCATGGCCTATGTTGCAGATGATTCAGTTTTTCTCCTATTTTTTTTTCTCCTATTTTATGTAAGGGCCAGTAGTCAAGTTGGCATTAAGTTGTCAGAATTGGGCTAGCACATTTGGTTAAGGGTATACATACCTTCAAGGATGCCATAAAATCCTACTTACAAAAAAACACCACCTTAATTGGCATTTTGGCTTAACGGTTAAGTTTTCACTAAAACTACGTGTTTTGGGCATCCTATAATACCACATATATTTTAGGAAAATCATTTGCTCTTAAAAGTTGAATATATTCATTTCCTGTATTTGTCCCTATTAAAAAGTATATTTAATTGATCATATTTTTTGTAACTGTAATCCAGAAAGACTTTATTGTCCAAGTGTTTACTTCACAATTACATAAAACTGTATATATTGTGATGACATAAACTATAACATATTGTTAAATGGTATATCCTTTAGGTATTATTTTACTTAATGCATTATGTCATTAAATAAATTACTGAACATGGAGCCTTAATTTTTTAATGACAGATCAAAATAATCTGTTAATTACAGTCTATTTTGTAATAAACTTTAAAATTTAGGAAAGTTTTAGAATTATAAGAGAAAAAGGTTGAAGTTATTAGAAAAAGTTAAGATAATTCATGGATCAAGGAAGCGGTGGGATTATTAGAGAAGAAAAAGTAAATGGAAGTTTAAAGACAAAAAGTAAAGAGCAGACATGGTTCCCATATACAAAATTTGCACCCCCTCCATCTGAATTCTGATTTAATTATTTTAGGGTAGGGCCAAGGCCATTGACATTTTAAAAAATATGATCTCTAGGTAATTCTAGTGTGCAACCAGTATGGAGAAAGGGAAGGTAGGCAGGTACGTGATTTATAGCTTTTATTTATTTACTTTCATTGAGGAGTAGTGGGAATGGGAAGGCTTAACTAATTGAATGACCATATAGCATTGAGACTCTTTTTGAAACTATAATAATTTGTGAAGAATCTGTAGAATTTAATGGTTTTCTTCCCCAGTACTCAGTAATGGAGGAGGAAGAACACTCCCCTTAGAGGTTAACACATTTGGTTTAAGATGTGAAGTGGATCAGGCAAATATGAGAGTGCTAGTGAGAGTATATTTGAAAGCTATAACTTTGGGTTCAAAGTTGCATGCAGTGATGGGGGTGTGAAAGGAAGCTGGGACAGCTGATGTAATAAAGTGAAATTTTCACATGAGTGAAAACCAGCTTTTGTGTAAAAGTAGAGTGGGATTCAAAATTAGGAAGTAGTTATAAAAGATTTTTTTTAAATAAGTAAATTGCTGAAGTATAAGATAATTATTGATCTTGTAGAGATACTTGATGAACTATAAGGCTGTGGTAATGTCTGGGTTATAAACATTTATTTAAATTACTCAGGAACTGGAGAGAAAAAAAAGTTACATGAGCTGATAGAGGGATGTCTTGGGCTTTGTTAGATGAGGATGACAAATTTATACTATAGGACAATATAAATCCCAAAGGAATATTGTTAAATAGTTGTGGTTGAGCAGGAGTCAGATCTATTACAGAGCCAAGATAGTACTAGTACTAGTACTAAGAGTACTCTCTTGGCTCTATAGTACTCTTAGTACTATAGAGCCAAGATAGTGGACAGTGTGGATCAAACAGATCCCAAGGTGACAACTATGATGAAATAGAAGAATTTCAAAAAAAATTTCAAGAAAAATTATTCAAATTTTGTTTCTCTATTATCAATTAAGCCTCAAAG